TGAGTGTCACTTGTCGCTAAATTAATAAGTCTTCAGATTTCTTATCTTTATAGAATGAAAAGGATGCGAAAATTGGTGAAAAATTGAAACAAAATGAGGTAAGATAATATGGAATGGTGAAAAGGATGTGAGAAATAGGGTAGAAATGGCTTAGGTATTTATAAAAATAAAAAATAAAAAATAAAAATATATATATATATATATATATATTAGAAATTTTTTTTTTGTTTAATTTTGTCCCCAAAAAAAAAAGTCAAACAGTAACCTGATGTTAGCAATGACGTCAAGTAGCATGTGCTTAGGCTGGGCTATAGAGCTGGCGGGTTGGCTGCCTTTGGCCGGCTCTTTGGCAGATTCTCCCATTTTTAGGTTTGAAGGTTTACAGATTTTGAAGGGTTAGATTAATTCTTCTGAAACTAAAATGACCCATGAGCATGGGCACTTGGAAAAGACGAAAGCCATGGCAGAGAGTCGCTGTCGGCGGGAGGGATGTGGTTCCTGGGTTTTTTTAAGGTCAATTAAAATTTGACAAAACAAATTTGGGTCTCAAAATTTTTTTAGTCCGACACACACTACAAAACGCTTTATAAAGTTAGTTTAGCTTAGTTTAATTTAAGTTAGTTCAATTTAGTTCTTGAAGCTAATTCAGTTTGAAATAGTCCGGTGCAACAATTTAGTTTATATATAATCCTACCAAATTTTCAGTTTTTTCAATTTCAATTTAGTTTTTTTTTTAATTTATTTGATAAACGATTCGATTTTTATTTATTTATTTATTTTTATTTGACTTTTCAGTTTTCAGGGCCCTTCCTTACCGATTACGGACTCTTACTATTATTCCATTGATTGAAAAGGGTACATCGTACCAAACGTATATCAACTAGTTACAAATAAGGAAGCAATTGTAATTTGTAAATAATAGGATAATAAACATAATTCTTATCCTACTAGAAAACCATAATGTGTAAAATAACATAAATACCCTAACATAAATAATCAAATTTCTAACAAAAATACTTCAGTCACAAGGGATAGATAAAGTGGTACAGCCTATAAGAATGCATGTATTTTCCTTAACTATAAGGAAAATGTATAGAAAATAAAGCAATTAACTGGAGTAGACATATTCTATTTTTTTTTTGTTGGTTGCATATATTATCAGTTTTCAATAACAACAACAAATTGATCATAATATCGATGACGACCCAACGACAATAATAACACGATGATGGTATAATGACAACATAATAAACAATTATCACTTCTGCAACAAAATATCAAAATATGTTATTGTAACTAATTACCCTAAAAGTATTATTAAAACATAACTGTCATTTGCCTAACTAGTTTAATGTTGTGTGGAGTGGAGTATATACAGGGATAGAGTCAGAAATTTCTTCTAGTGGGGGCAACCGAAAACAACTAAGAAAACCTTATTATAGTATGGTTATACGCAATATGATATTAAGGATGGTTTCAAATGATGATGTATCACAATTCCAATGTTACGAAATTTTCAATATAGTAGTGGAAAGTGACAAGGTGATAAGAAAAATATAAGTACATGATAGGCAGGAGAGGGTTTTTTTGGTTTGAATGACAGAACAAGAGCACTATTGCTCATATAATATTTGATATGAAGTATAAGTAGAATGAATGTATGTTGGATATTCATATATTTTCTTAAAAGATAACCCGTGTATATTATATAATTGTAGTCTGCAACTAAATAAATGAATTACTTAAGTGGGGGCATCTGCCCCCAGTGAGTCTTCATTAACTCCGTCCATGAGTATATAACATAAATATTTAAAAGAAGATTTTTATTGCAAAGCGAAGGCGACTCTAATATCATTGATGATGGTTCAAATATGTGTTAACTCACGCCCTAACAAACTATTTTCGTCTCAAAAAGTTAAAAAAATATATATATATTTTTTCGTCTTTCAACCACGCCACACTGTTTTGTTCATTGGATTTTAGTAAAATGACTCTTGAGGTGCTGCTCTTCTCTCTTCCACTATGCATCCACGTTCCATTAAAACCCAGACAACAAGGGGCAAAGCAAACAAACGTGGCAAAACAGCTCCCCGGCCCAAATGAACTCCGGCAACAAGAGAATAAACAAAACAAAACAAACATGACATTAAGACACTCACCTCCTGATCGTCAACATTCACCCCCTTAACATTGCCGCGCGAATTTGCATGCATACCTTGATTTTTCAAACTACGAAACCTCAATTAATTAAAAAACCACCAGACTGATCACACATATAAATACACACACACACACACACACATACATATGTATATATGTATATATATTCAGCATTCTATTTAAACAAAAACAAGATATTTCACATGCTGAACATATGTATCCTGAACATTTGCATCAACATTCAACATTCATCAGATGAAGATTAAGGGACACAACTTCAGTAAATTTAAGCAAGAATCACATGATCACATGAAGATATATTCAAATTGATATCAAAATCAAAGATATTCCAAAAGTTGACTATTTGGTATGTGAGGTCTCTAAATATATACTAGTAGGAATTAGTAGGCTAATATATTATTAAAATCAAGCATACGTATTCTAATTTGAGTAAAAAAACAAATGTCACACGACTGCATTTCGAATACATAAAAACCATGGGGAACAAAGTCACTTGCTTCCTCCAGGTCATATTGTTGTGGGCCCGCTAAGAAAACTTTTGGGCTTAGTCTCACAACAAAAGACGTTTGTGGGCTGAAAGAAGTTGAACACTCAATGGCACTGGCAGTGTCACTAGTTCATACACTTACTTATTTTATTGCCATCCATTGATCCAACAAAAGAAACATGTCTTCTTTTTTCCAAATTAATACGCTCCATTGATCTCTACAATTCTTATAATAAAGAAGATATTGTATGCATTCATAGTTGTTTTCACTTTAGTCGCCTATTTGCAAGTGGAAAACTCCTAGTCGTTGATGTATTATTGTGAAAATGTGAAGGATAACAAAGTCCTCACATATGTGAGGGACCAAATCTTGCACAGACTAATAAGGAGTTGATTAACCTCTCATAATGTCTATTAGTTTTGTGATTAAACTATTTTTGAAATTATGCTCATTGTTTTTCATTTTACTTGGTACAAAATTATTTTGTTTTCTCTTTCTAGTGAAACATCCACGAAAACCCAAGAAAAGCAAACAAATAGTAGTTGAAAAGTGTAGTCACAATAGGTTTTTCAAATCAAAAGATATTTTTTTTTTTAATATTTGTAACTTTGAATTTTCTTGTTCTTAATTCCCATTCAAATAATAAGTTTCATAAACTAATCTTTTTTTCCTACCGTGTTTCTTTAGAATGGAATTGGTCGTTTGCTTTTTCTTTCCTTTGACTCACTCTCTCTCTCTCTCCCTCTCTTCGTGCTGTTCTTAGTCCCACGTACAGACAAATGACCGCTATATAGATATATAACCACACCAAATTCACCTCAGAAAAAAAAGCCTCGCAAAAAAATGATAATCTTCCAACCTAGGAGTGACAGTTTCTGGGCTGCGGCAAATGGCTCAGCAACACAGAAGTGCAACTGTTCTCTTTCTCTTCCTTGGATTTTCCCATCTGGGCGCAAAACCCACCTCTTATTTCTTGAATCCGGATCATCTTCTGATCCTCTTTGTGTGGATCTTAGAGATTTGTAAATTGTGTCCGTTAATCATATATTGTACGGTCAGTTTCGTTAGATACTGTTTGTATTCAATTTTAAATAATAAATCTCCGAGATTATATCCGTTCATTGTATATTGTATGATTAGTTTTTGTCAGATACTGTTTGTGTTCAATTTTAAATAGTAAAATTTAAAATGATTTTTTACTGCACAATGTATGATGAACGGACACAATATACGAATCCCTGACATCCCTATTCCTATTTCTTGATATAGGTTCAATTTTTCAATCAACGTTAGGAATTTCAGTCAACATTAGGAATAGTCAAATTTATTAAATAAGTTCATGACTTTAAGATTATTTTATTCAATATTATCTGAATCTTACAATTAACTATGAAAATTAAATTCCCTCCTAATTTTCTCTTTGATTATTTCTTTTTATTTCCTTCTTTTTAGTATTTCTTGTTTTTCTTCTTCTTCTTGTTTCAAACCCCATTCATAGATTTTATTTTTAATTTTTATAATCAACCTATATAACAGATTACTTGCACTTGTATCAACCCATATGACAGATTCGTTTTTACAACTAACCTGTATTGCATATTAATATGTCTTACTTGTAAGTATATTATGTTTTTGTACCTTTTAATTAGATTTCATATCTCACTTATAGGTATAATATATATTCATGTATTACTTGATTTAGGTAAAATGTCTACATATGGATTTATGTTAGTATCTTAGTTTTTCTGTTAGAAGATATTAATTAGACTTTTTAGAGTTAGAAAATGCATATATTAGAAGATTTTAATTGATTTTAATATTTTTAGAAAATATAAAATGAGTATAACAAATAAAAATATGCAATTAGATAACTTAACTCACTCCCACAAAACAACTTATTTTTGGATCTGGATCTAAAACCCCTTTTTTTTTTTTTTTTTTTTTTTGGCTTTTTCTCTGGTTTTGTGAGTCTACTTTTTTCTTACCATAATGTTCAGACATGTTTTTTTTTTTGGTCACTATTTGTTGGAGGCTTATGAATAATTGATACTTTTGGGATGTATATTATTTGATTTAGGGCTGGTTTGGTATTGTTGTGCTTTAAAAAAAACTGCTTCTGCTGTGCTGTGAGAATAAGCAGCTGTGAAATAAAACTGCAGAGTGTTTGACAAACTTTTTTGCAAAAGTGCTTTTGAAAAAAAAAAAAAAAAAGCAGTATTATAGTGTTTGGTAAACTTTTATGTGAAACAGATGTGAAAAAAAGCCGGTTTTTCAAAGCTGGGTTTTGCAGCTTCTTGTTTTTGGCTTCTTTTCACCCAAAACTGTGAAAAAAAAAAGCTGAAGCTAAATGTTTACCAAACACAAAAACAGCTCTTAGCTATTTTTTATACCAGCTTTTTTCAGAATCACCTCAGTAGCAAACCAGGCCTTAGACACGATTGGTTTATACTGTTTAGTATGTGATTAGTACCTTCTGTTCTGTTTTTTATTATTTCAGGTTGTTTTGTTCATGCACAAATATGCTTGAATGAAGGCTGTTTTTCCTTTCCTTCATGTTTTATGTAAACATTGATATGATTTGATAATTAGGTATCACAGAAATTGGTTAGGATTAGGCTAGGTCAAGTATTCATATGTTAAGATGGAATAAATATACATGTATGTGTAATGAGTCTTCATAACTGTTTAGATCGAAATTCTCCTCCGCAAGCTCACGTCAGTAAACCCCGAAGACCAATGGTCTGCTGCGGCTGAAATCCGCCTTCTTGCCAAAGGTAATGCAGGTAATCGTGTGGCTATTGCTGAAGCTGGTGCAATACCCCTTCTTGTAGGCCTACTTTCAACCCCAGACTCCCGCACCCAAGAGCATGTCGTGACAGCACTCCTCAACCTTTCCTTATGCGAAGATAACAAAGGAAGTATCATATCCTCTGGAGCAGTTCCTGGTATTGTTCATGTTCTCAAGAATGGAGGGATGGAAGCACGGGAAAATGCAGCTACGACCCTTTTCATCCTTTCTATTGTGGATGAAAATAAAGTTATGATTGGCGCTTCAGGAGCCATTCCCCCACTTGTTACGTTGCTGAGTGAAGGTACCCAAGGGAGGAAGAAAGATGCTGCAATTGCACTTTTTAACTTGTGCATTTATCATGGTAACAAGGGGAAGGCAGTAAGGGCCGGTGTTGTTTCGACCCTAATGAAGATTCTGACAGAACCTGGAGGTGGAATGGTGGATGAAAGACTGGCCATTCTAGCAATACTGTCTAGCCACCCTGAAGGGAAAGCAGCCATTGGAGCCGCTGAGGCAGTGCCCGTTTTGGTTGAAGTTATTGGTACTGGATCTCTCCGAAACAGAGAAAATGCGGCTGCAGTTTTGGTGAATCTTTGTTCTGAAGACCAACAACATATAGTAGAGGCTCAGGAACTCGGGGTGATGAGTTCGTTATTGGAGTTGGCACAAAATGGCACAGATAGAGGAAAGAGAAAGGCTGCACAGTTACTTGAGTTAAATGAATCCATTTGCTGAGCAGCAGACGGGGGACGCAGACGCAGGCACAAGCTGAGGCTCAGTCTGAGACCCAGTCACAAACCCCACAACCTATCTATTCGAGGGAAACCTCACAACTTATTTATTCGAGGGAAATCTCACACCTTATCCATTTTAGGGAAAACCAAGTATAACAAGTATGTATTGTTATCAAGTTCGAAAACCTAATTTTCTTAAGAAGCACTTCTTTTAGAAGCGCTTTTAGTGGTAGGTGCTTCTTCAGAAAACACCAAATAATGTTTTTAGAATTTAGTACCACGTACTAGTTATCGTTTTCATTGAACACTACAATCTTTTTTGGTTATTCGGAAGTGTTTTGTCCCTTTAAAATTAAAGATACCATGACAATTAACTATCCCTGAATCATAAGCTAAAAGTATGCTCTAAAGAAGCTAAAGATTAGTCGTCAAAATTGTTCCTAGGAGTTAGTTATAGTTTGTTAGAGAGTTTTGTATACTGTTAGTTTGGTTAAGGACATTAGTGTAATATGATAGAAAGCCCACATGTGTATACATAACAAACACTGTGTAATTATTGAGGCATCCAATGAATCAGTAAATTTTCAGAATTCTATATGGTATCAGAGCTTTTGCGTTGTGACCTTTGGGGACCAGCTCCTGTTATGTCAGTGAGTGGTTATAGGTACTATCTGTTGCTTGTTGATGACTATAGTAAATACAGTTGGTTTTTTCCTTTATGATCAAAATCTGAATTGTATTCTATCTTTGTTGAGTTCAAGAATTATGTAGAAAACCTTCTTGGCAATAAAATCAAAATTGTTTGTTCAGATTCAGGGGGTGAATTCACTAGCACTGCTGTACAATCTTTTCTCAAAACATATGGCATTGTTCATCAATTTAGTTGTCCGTACACACCTGAACAGAATGGTTGTGCAAAAAGGAAACATCGTCATCTTCTAGAAACTGCTTGAACACTCTTGGTTGCATTTAATGTTCCTCATATTTTCTGGGTAGAAGCATTTTATACTGCAATATACCTGATTAATCGACTTCCTATTTCTGGAAAATTACAGTCTCCATGGGAATTATTGTTTCATACTCCCCCTAATTATAATAGATTGAAAGTATTTGGTTGTAGCTGTTTCCCCTGGCTTAAGCCTTATGCAACTTCGAAATTCGACAACAAGAGTAAATATTGTGTATTCTTGGGGTATAGTATTCAACACAAAGGGTATAGGTGTCTGGATCCATTGACTTAGAGGGTATACATATCTCTCCATGTGGTCTTTGATGAACCTACATTTCCGTTTCATCATTCTCAGTTATCTTCAACAAGTGGTACCTCTTTCTCTAATGCAGCAGGTTCAATTGCTTTTCCAGTGGATTTGCAGTTCACTGTTCTTAATGATGCTTCTGCAACTAGTCCAGCTGCTCATTCTTCAAGCATTATACTAGTGATGCATTACCTATTATTTCAGATGTTGCTCCTACTAACAGTGTTCCAAATTCTAGTTCACATGCTGCTTCTATTGATCCAAATGTTTCTTCACCTGATGATCCTAATATCTCTTCTACTGCACCAAATACTCACCTTATGATCACACAATCTAAAGCAGGGATATTCAAACCAAAGGCTTTTTCAGCAACCAAGCATCCTATTCTCTCTTCTATAGATTATGTTTCATCCACTTATTTGCAAGATTCTAAGCATGCTCACTGGAGAACTGCCATGCAAGAAGAGTTTAATGCTCTAAAATCTACAGGAACTTGGATGTTTGTCCCCTCTTCTCCCAATCAAAATGTTGTTGGCTGTAAGTTGGTGTTTAGAATCAAGAAACATCATGATGGTTCAATTGATTGGTACAAGGCTCGGCTTGTCGCCAAAGGGTTTCACCAACAAGAAGGCATTGATTATAAGGAAACATTCAGCCCTGTAGCTACGCCTGTTACCACTCGTATCCTATTGTCTTTTGCAGCTCAATTTCACTGGTTTTTAAACCAATTGGACATAAATAATGCTTTCTTGCATGTGGATTTACAAGAAAATGTCCTTATGCAGCAGCCTCCAGGGTTTAGTGATCCCTCATTTCCAAACCATGTTTGCAAACTCAAGAAGTCACTTTATGGTCTTAAACAGGCTCCACGAGCTTGGTTTGACAAATTATTCCAAGTGTTGCATTCCTTTGGTTTTCAGCAATCCTCTTTTGATGTTTCTCTCTTTGTCTTAAAAGCTCCAACCTTGGTTATAATCCTTGTATATGTTGATGACATTCTAGTCACGGGTCCTAATGCTACTCTCTGTAAACATTACATTTAGAAATTGAGTACTGTCTTTCCAGTCAAAGATTTCGGTCCTTTGCACTATTTTTTTGGGACTTGAGGTGCACAAGTCCTCTAAAGACACTTCCCTACATCAAGGCAAGTATACGCTTAATCTTCTTCAAAAAACCAAGATAGATGGAGCTAAACCATGTTCAATTGCCAAAAGAATTCTCCGCTTCTTAAAAGGTACCCTCACACATGGTCTTTGGTTTAACCCAGGCACTTTGAATCTTACTACATATTCAGATGCCGATTGGGCAGGGTGTACCTTTGACAGAAAGTCCACCAGTGGCTATTGTATATTTCTCGGCTCTAATTTGATTAGTTAGAGTGCTAAGAAATAGTCCACGGTTGCTCGATCTTTTACTGAGGTCGAGTATCAGTCCTTAGCTCATACATCGACAGAAATAACATGGATCTATAAAGTGTTCAAAGATATTAGTTTTCCCCTACCTTAGATTCCTCATCTTTGGTGTGATAACATTTCTACCATCTCTTTAGCTTCTAACCCTGTTTTTCATGCTCAGACTAAACATGTTGAAATTGACTATCATTACATCCGTGAGCTTGTTCTTGCTTGGCTTATCAAAATTCAATATGTTTGTAGTCAAGATCAGTTAGCAAACATCCATACCAAGTCTTTGTCCCGGCAATGATTCTTATATCTTCAATCCAAGCTTTCTCTTGGTCTTTTTGATGCTTCCAAGTTCAGCTTGAGTGGGTGTAAATAAGCTAAAGATTAGTCATCAAAATTGTTGCTAGGAGTTAGTTATAGTTTGTTAGAGAGTTTTGTATACTGTTAGTTTGGTTAAGGGCATTAGTGTAATCTGGTAGAAAGCCCACATGTGTATATATAACAAACATTGTGTAATTATTGAGGCATTCAATGAATCAATAAATTTTCAGAATTCTATATGCTCCACATCCCTTACTTAATTAGTCTTTTTTGTGCCTAAGTTTTGTGGTGGTTTTACTATCCACATCCTCAGCTCAGGCATTTTGGTACGCTCGCTGACTTTTATGGACTAATCGGTGGCATCTCCCAGTGCATTCTCTACCGTTCAATATGTGTGCTTCATTCGACATGCTCAAAATCCTATCGAAGTGTCCCTTTGGCCTGCCATATTTCTTGTGTGCGTGGGTGCTTCAAGATTAAATAAGAATCGGAATGTGATTGTTGATGAACGCAGAGACTAGACAGACAATTTGCAAGTATGAGAGATTTTACTGTGTAACCGCCAATCAGGAACAAATCACGAAAAGAATATTCAGGAACACATAAAGACATATTTGCGATTACGTCCATGTATTCTATAAACCAATTTCTTTTTGTGAGTTCAATGCCCCCGTTTATGTTAAAATTTTGTTGGAGATCCAGTTGGCTAAGACTATTGTACCTTTGAAAAGAAAAGGGCAAGCAATTGCTCAGCATTTCAAAAGCAAATCACTAGAAATGTTTCTGGTGCACAATGATAAAACACCGCCTTTTGGATTGAACTCGTGTTTGGTGACCTATATATATCCAGACTTGGAGGAATCTTTGGAGTCTCCAGAGTCTTTAAATTTGAAACCAACACAAGCATGCTAAGCTTGAGAAAACAACTAATAAAACGAACTAACCATTTGTTTTTGGGAGTTTTAACGAAAAGCCCACGGTACTGTTCACTTTAACGAAAAACCACATTTTTACACTAAAAAATCAATCCTGGTACTATTCACTTTACCCTTTATTTTGTCCTTATCGTTAAAACTCAAAGTTTTCAAGTCATTTTCATTAATTTCTTTTTTTCTATATATGAGAGAGGTTGGGGTCGGTCAACAACACAACCACCGCCCTTGCTTCGGCTTGGGGTCGGCGACGCCAGCCCCACTGCCCAAATGGTGGTTCGGGAACTTGATTTTCCCACTTTTGGTTATCCTCCAATTTATTGCAAATGTGTACCATATTTTCATTAGCCCAAATGAACCACAACTCTCTAACCCATACTACAGATCCAACCCCCAAGATTGTCCTTGTGGTTAATTTGCCCGCTTTTGATTGAGAAGTCCGACCAAGCCTCTATGTTCGCTACCAAGCTTGAGAGCGAATCGTTGCTCATTCAATTGAAGATGTGGCGAAATCAAGTGGTATAGCCTATAAAAATGAAAGCATTTTCCTTAATTATATATAAAAAAAAATGTATAGAAAATAGGGCAATTACTTGGAATAGACTCTTTTTTTTTTGCACAAATGACCAGTTTTTAGTAACAACAACGTATTGATCATATGTCGACGACCTGACGATGACACAACGATGATATGGCAATAGCATATAACTATTGATCCTTTTCTGCAACAAAATGTCAAAATATATTTATTGTTATTAATTGCCTTGGAAATTATTAAAAGATGATTGTCACTTGTCTAACAAACTGTTCCGTCTTTCAACCACACCCACACAGTTTTGTCCATTGGATTTTAGGAAAATGACTCTTGATATGCTGCTCTGCTTCTCTTCCACCATGCATCCACGTTCCATTAAAACCCAGACAACAAGGGCAAAGCAAACAAACATGGCGAAACAGCTCCCCGACCCAAACGAACTCCGGCAACAAGAGAATAAACAAAACAAACATAACACTAAGACACCCACCTCCTGATCGTCAACATTCGCCACCTTAAGATTGCCGGTCGAATTTGCATGCGTACCTTACCTTGATTTTTCAAACAACGAACCCTCAATACATTAAAAGCCAACCACACTGATCACATCCACACACACACACACACATATATATGAATACTCAACGTCTGCATCGATATTCAACATTCATCACCTAAAGATTAAAACGTTACTTCAATAAATTTAAGCAAGAACTATACGATCACACAAAGATATATCCAAATTTGTTGTCAAAATCAAATATATTTCAAAAGTTGAATATACGGTATGAGAGGTCTCTAAATAGATACTAGTAGGAATTATTAGGCTAATATGTTATTGAAATCAAACATA